ATTTCGTGGTCACTATGCCCAAGGTGGCCACCGACCGTGACATCATCCGCTAGTCCTTCTCTGTTTACAAACAACAGGTCTAGCAGGGCACCTCCTCTAGTTGGCACATTTACCAGTTGTGTTAGGAAGTTATCTTCCACGCACTCTAGGAACCTCCTAGACTGGTTCCTCTCTGCTACATTTTATTTCCAGCAGATATCTGGCAAGTTGAAGCTGCCCATGAGTACAAGGGCCGGTGATCATGAGACTTCTGACAGCCGCTTGTAGAATGCCTCATCTGCATGCTCATCCAGGTTGGGTGGTCTATAACAGACTCCCACCATAATGTCCGCCCTGTTGATCTTCCCTCTGATCTTTACCCATAGGCACTCAATCTTGTCATCTTCATCATCATCAATTTCAATACAGTCCGAACACTCCGTAACATACAGTGTTAGAGATAGCATGCCTTTTGTTTCTCTGGAAAATTATTTTAAAATGTAAAAAAGCACCAGAACAAATCACTGAAAGTTAGTGTAGTTTAGTTTTTAGTTTCTTTGATTTGATTTATGGCTGCTTCCCTACCCCCCACCCCCCCTCAAGAAATGTTCTTTGGGAATATGGATTGTCTTACAGATTCCTTCTAGGAATAGTGGTAATCACTTCATATAGAACAGTTAATGAACTGAGTAAACTAACACTATTTACGGCACTTCTTATGTTGCCTATAAAACTTTATCTGAGTACATATCGTGTATTCATCACAGCTAAATAATTGGAGTTTTTTTTGAAAGACCAACTACAAAATTGTTGACTTGAAACAGAAGTAACCATAGTTTTTGAATTTTCTTAAAGGAAGCTGACAGTAGAAGAGAGAGAACGCCTACAGAAGGAAGAAAAGCTTTCTAAAGTAGATGAAAAAATTAATCATGCTGCTGAAGAACTAAACAGCTACAGGTAATTACAGATTTTAGTTTCTGTAATCACTTATTCCAAAGTGACTAAAAGGTAATAGAGAATTAATAAAAACACCAGCACAAGTGAATGTATCTTCTTCCAGTTTTTTGGGGGTGTGTGTGTGTTAGCATGCTATTTGGTGTGTAATAATACATACTAAGGATGGTTTTGCTTTGTCAAAAAATTTGGGTATCCAAGATCACAAACAACTTTTCTTCCATTAGAACGCTGATTTCATTGACATGTTAGCTTTAATGGAACCCACTTTAATATAAGTGGGTCTTTAATGGAGTTCCCTTTACTGAACAGAGTTCAAAATATGAAGTTAAGAGAATGCTGTGAAATAAATGCAATGTTCAATTGTCCTGTAGATCCTAACATACATGTTATAGAGTTACAGTATTCTATTTCTGTATCTCTAAGCTTGTCAAATAGTTCTGTTGTTTAGAAGTTCTTTACTAAAATACTGTGATGTGGGAGTATTTTCTGTAGCTAACTGCTTTGCTCTGTCTTGTGTTACACCAGCTGTGTACCTCTGATTTGTATCTGTGATTTCTCAAACTATGGTATAATTCTTCAATCTGTAATGAATATTCCCCACCTTCCTTCAACGTTTATGGGAGTATTGAGACTAACTGAATGACACTGATCAACAATGCTTCCCAAAGAGTTAATTAGACTAATTCTTTCTCTAGAATCATAGAATCGATTTGGTTGGAAGAGACCTTTGGGATCATTGAGTCCAACCTTAATATAAAATTCTTGTAGACATTCTTCACTATTCATACAGGAAGACAGAATTCACCCTTCTTGGTTTACTTAGAATGTGAACTTCGTAGGCAATTTTAAAGAGAATATTAATATTGCAAACGGAGTATAACTAATCAATCAATGTGTCTTTGGCCCACCTGCTGAGAGAGTGTAGAACCTAGAGAGGCTGTGTACAGGGCAGCTGGCAGTGAAGGTGCCATCGTACTTTCTGTGGTCATGAAATAACTTCAGTGCAAGTGACTGTCCCTCAGGACTCACTGTAGCAGCCTGTGACAGCATGACACTGGTACATTTGCTGAGCTGGGTGAGGCTGGCTGTTAGAGTATATGTGGAGGAATATCCTTTATATTTGAAAGATGGCGCAGACCACTGAAAAGTTGGGGAGGTGCTGGGTTTTTTTGTTCTGCACTTTTGTTTACATTCTTGTTTGTACTAATCTAGAGCCTAGAATTTCCACTGCTACTGTAATTTTTATGTATCCCATGGGCCTAAGTGACAATACTGTCTTTTGGATGAAAAAAAAAATCTTAATTATACCTTGTGCTTACTGTATTTAAAATTACTTTCCTCCACATTTTATTACAATGTCATAAATCCTGATTTTGTTACAGACAGCGAGCAAAAGATCTTGAAGAAGAGCTAGAAAGAACCATTCGTTCTTACCAGAATCAAGTATGTGCTTTGTGTTACCATCTATGCCAAGTGGGAGGGATGTTACTGCAACTGAAATACCACTTTCAGCTAGGTTGTGATACTGTATTTGACTTGGTTTTGTTGGGTGTTTTTTTTGTTTGGTTGGGTTTTTTCCCCCTTCTTAATGCCATCTGGTTTCGACCGACACAATTTCATAGCAGAGGTCACCAGATAGCTTTATTAAAAAGTTAAATTCTAAATTTAGATGTCCCATTATAAATTATCCACACACATTAATTGTACAAATAAGAACATATACTCAATCTTAAGTTTTCTTTTTCAGATGAGTAATGATCTAATGAATCTTTCTTCCATAGATTACTTCACATGAGAAAAAAGCTCATGATAATTGGGTAAGTTCCAAATCCTGAATTATGTGAACTTTGTGTGTCTTCCATGATTTGAATAACTTGCTTTATCACTCTTTTGATCATGTTACCATTTAACAAGTGTGTGACGTGTTGCTCATAATAAAAGCTTTTGGCCTTGTTTCAATGCCATTTTAATATTTCCCCTGGATGTACTTCACTCCTTTTATGTAATAATAGAAGACGTTATGTCCTGTGAGAACAGTATGTTCCATTGGCAGCTTCCTAAGAATGTTGCAACAAAATCAATTTTTACCTTTTTTTCCAAACAGGAAACTTTAAAATATCTTCTTCAGTTTCACAGAATGGTCTGTGTAAGATAGAATCCTGTTAAAAGCTATGGCACTTCATGGTCGTAATTTTAAAGTTTTTAACTATATAATTTTAAAATACAACTTTCTTATATAAAATTTGAGGCTTTAAGTCTTCTACATATTCTGTAGATGCTTCAAAGCAGCTGTAGCCAAAGAATTTCAGTTTTAAGAACCTGAGGAAAGCTGTATCATTCCTCAAAAATTCGTGTAGCAGAGCTGCTAATGTCATTTGGTGACGTATGTGAGGCTCCGTTTCATATGCTTTATACATGAGCCATGGCTTGTGAAAATAGAGTCCACACACTTCAGATGGGGGGGGGGAAATCTTTGATCTAGAATCTGTCACATTTGTGAAGCATTTAATTAATAAATAACAATATCTAAGCATCTGATTTTTGTCCCTCCACAAAGCTGACAGCCCGAGCAGCTGAAAGACACCTCAATGATATAAAAAAAGAAAATGCACATAACAGACAAAAGTAAGTGCAGTCCTAATCTAATTCTAAACAAATGCAGTTTTCCATGTGAGTATGTTTTGGATTTATGCAATTTGGTGTTTTCTTAGACCTATGTTAATCAATTGTGGCCGAAACAGGGCAGAGAGAGCACAGTGTTCCATTGGAGTTCTGAAAGAAAGGGCTTCATTTGAGCATCCCTGTAATGATAACATGCAAGAAAGTAAGAACTTAAGAACTATGTGAAGTATTGAAGTATTTCAGGAAAGAAGCAGAGTGTAGTACTAGAACTCAAAGGTTTTGGGCATTTATTTTTTGTTTGTTCACTTCAAATAAGTATGTATCAACCAGATGCCATGGTTACCTAACGATTTTACAGCTTATCTCAGAAGTTAATACTGAGCTAACAGATCAGGTGGTGGTGGTTGAGGGGAACCTTTAGGTGTGAAGTTAACTATATTGGAATGCAATTTAGAGTACTCATGAGAGTAGTGTCATGCTAGGAATTGTGACATCTAAGATGCCAGTTCAAGTTCTGAATTACAGTTTAAATACAGCGGCATAGAGAAATACTTTCAGGAATTCTTAAGTTCAGAGTTCTGTAACATCCTTTGTCTTTTTTCTTCTTTTTATTTAGGGAATAAAATACCTTGCTTCAAGTAGAAAGCCTAGCAGTAAACAGTGCAGTTCAGTAAAACTTTTGCACTTCTTGGTTATTCACTGCTTTTTTGTTGTTTATTTGCAGATTAACTGAAACAGAATTTAAACTTGACCTTTTAGAAAAAGATCCTTATGCTCTTGATGTTCCAGTTAGACCATTTGGCAGAGGTACAGTATTGAATTGTAAAACAGAGCCTAATTGTTTTGGTTTATGGTTTTGTTTCCCATGATCACATGTATGTAATTGTTTGAAAACTGTCTTGGCCATGTGCATGTACAAATAACAGTCATTTAAAAAAATAATTGGGTCATAAGTGACTAGGTCATGTTAAGTATTTTGTTGAAACTAAGAGTGTTTGTAGTATCGATGAGAGTAGACTGGGAATATGATACACATGGTAATTGGAGCACAATTTTCATTTCACTTATACAATTTAGTTTTAAATTCATCTGAGAAGTTAATTACTTTATACCGTTCGCTAAACTAAGTACTGTGAACTTGAGTATTTTGTTTTAACTGTTCCAGAGCATTCCCCATATGGACCCTCACCAATGGGCCGGCCTTCATCTGAAACAAGAGCTTTTCTTTCCCCTCCAACTTTATTGGAGGGTCCTTTAAGGCTTTCACCTATGCTTCCAGGTGGAGGAGGAGGAAGAGGTACAATTCTTAAACTTGAAAATGTATCTGTTCTGGATTTCTCTCTCCTCTACTATAAACCTGTCACACCTTTTCCTCTTGCTGGTGACAAAAAGTATTAAAACAACAAATTCAATATAAAGAGTTAATTGGACAAACTCTTCCTGTTTTTCAACTTGCTTCTAAAGCTGTCTAATGTGCAACAGTACAATGGAAAATTTAGTTGTTACTAGTGGGTTGGTCAGTGGATTCACTTTAGAAGCATGGATTGAGAAAAGTGAAAAGTCAAACTTAATCAGTCTTGTTTTATTTCTCGGACAAATGGGGTTCTGCTAAAATAAACTTAGATTTTAAAGTAAACGAGTCGATTCGTTTTCTGAAGAAAGGATACTGCCACTTCCATCTCATCAAGCCTACAGTCAGTGAGAGAAGGAAGAGGGTACCTGTGTTGTCAAAAACATAAGACAGTTTTACTGGGGGTCATCATACTAGAAAGTTACTGATTCGGTAGATTGTTTTCCTCTTTGTTCTAAATTTGAGGCAGTCATTATACGTGGAGACAGTTTCTTCCCTGGTGATAAAAGGGACCAGGAAGGTTGTGTGTAAGGAGTACAATTCAGAGATTGAGGAGTAGGTGAAAGCAAGCTGTGGTGTCATGGGTTGTAAGGGAAGAAAAACACTGTTCCTTCATATTTTTGATGTTGATGGAAATAGTGTAGATAAATGCTAGAGTGGAGTTCAGCATCTGTTACAGGTAATAAAGAAGCTACTATTTAATTTACTACTGCTCTTACACCTGTTGAAACCTTCCATATTTTGTTGGAAATATGTCTAAATGGCTCTTCTATAAGGATTTCACTAATCAACATAGATTTTTAAAAGACCAGCATAGACTATTTATTTAATTTAATTCTTTGTAAAAAGCATATCCAGGTGCATATGAAAGTTGGTTTGAGATTGAATGTTCAACTGTAGCTATACCACACACAGGCAAAATCATACTTGATGATTTATTTGTATAGAGACAGTAAGTAATGAAACCGAGCTGTCCCACTTATCTTTAAATTGTAGATCAGCTGTTGCTGGTGAGGAAGAGTAAAAACTGGATTTGAGAATGCGGTGTCAGCAAGGGAAAGAAACTAGGCAAAGGTTTAACTACTGCCCATTTCACAATGGAGCACTAATGTAGCTGAGGCAGATTAAACAAATGATGTGTTTAAATAATGCCAGCTACAGAGAAATTATAGTGCTCATCTCGCTTTGCAAAAGACACAAAATGGCTCGAAATTTTATATTGAATTTTAGGGTAGAGAATTAGAGAATGATACCAAAATTCCGTATTTCTGTCATTTTTCAGACCAAATCTATTTTAAAGGAAGCTTGCAACCTAAAATCACTCATTGTTACAGTTTCTCTTGCACTTGGTTATGTGTTAATCTCGTCTTCTCTTACTTTTTTTCCTTGAATAAAGAATTAGAAAGAACCAGAAGACTGTTGAATGTAATGTGGGTATTTTCTTACAATGAGGGTATTAACTTTCAGTGTGCTAATTTTTAGTTTGATTAGCAGCAGGTTTTTTAGCACTGAGAAGATTTGTTGTGAGGGGACGTACCAGTTTAGTTTCTCTGACTCAAATGAAACGAAACTCTTAAATTTTTTTTTTTTTTTTTAAATTGCAGGTACTATAGATGGCAGTCTTGTTGAACTAAGACTTTTTCATTCCAAACAAACCTTTTAAACACTTCTAGTAAACATAACTAGTCATCAGCAAACAGCTGGAGAGTCCTGTGGAGCCATGCACTTCATACCTTGACAATGTTGACATTCCATGATTTACTTTAGTATTTTCAGACTTAATGAAGAAAGCCGTAATAGAGGTTTTAAAATGCCTGGGTAAATAGCTATCTGATCTCTTCGATTAGGATCCAGAGGACCAACTGCCATGTATGAAGCTGGTAACGAAAGAGGGGAGCCGAGTTCTGATAGATTAACTGATCCCCACAGACCACCATCAGATACTGGATCCCTGTCTCCTCCTTGGGACAGAGAACGCAGGATAATTCTGCCTCCACCAGGTATAAAAATCTGCTTAGCTACTGTATCTATGGAAAAATTGAGTTACTGACTTGCAGTGTATATATTAAAGTATTTTTTGCTTAAAAATATGAATATTTTCTTGGAACTGCATGTGCAACTGCACTGGAAAGGGTTTTTTTGATAGTAAGTTTTTTCCCCTTCTTGAATGGTGCGATTCACTTGCACTTCTGTACTATCTTTTAAATGTATATTGGTACTAGCAGTGTACAATCAACTGTTTGGTTTCACCATTTTACTGGGTGTTTGTTTAGTGCATCAAAAGACCTGTCTGGGCTGGATAATATTAAGAGATCTGAGAAATTAAAAAGTTTTAGTGATAAATTAGCCTTAAGCAGGTTAATAAAAGCTAGCTAATGTTGAAAAATACTATGTTTCTCAAAAAACATTTATATTAATAGTACAGGAGTACCATGGAACAGTAGCCTGTTCAGTACATATTTTCATGTTGATACTGCCTCTCTGAAAATTAACAACAACAAAATCAGTCTTCACTCTCACTTCTTCAGCTAAACATCTGTATTGCACATTATCACTCAAGGAAGACAGAGATGAATCAAAGAGGATACTACTGATATTTCTCAAGTAGACAATGCAGAGGGAAGGACAACCTTCCTGTATACCTAATTTGTAATGTTTTTTTAACTTGTAGCATTTTTGCATCTTTATTACAAGTAAAGTACACACATTAAAGTACTTCAATTGTTAGATACAGCAAATAATACTATAGTTGTACAGATCTGTGTGAAAGCCTGATTATAAAATTCCAAGTCCAGTCAGGATGCAGTTTTTCATTTGCCAGATCTGATCTATTGACAGGATACTGCAGAGAGGTAGGCTTGTTTCCTTGACCTGAACTGTGTTCTTACCCCATCTTTGCACTTGAATCTTCCTGGTACAGTTTGTCTTCTAGCTGTGTGATTGGTTGCTAGATCTGATGCAAGAAGGTTGGTGGAAACACATTATAGCACTGTGAAACGTAACGGAAAACAGCACCTTACCTAAGAATGGCTTAAAACATACAGTACCTTATTTTGCCTTTGTCCTTCATTGCTGTGCTGAACCTTTGTTTCAAGGTCCCACTGTTTATAATTTAGGCAGTTGTAACTTTCAAAATTCTACTGTATGTTAAACTGAAAATCAATGAACTTTCTCTTTTGCAGCTCCTTGGAAACATAAGCCATAGTACACACTTAGTGGGATTCCTGTGTTCAGGGTTTTTTAAGATTTGTTTGCTCACACTAATTAAAGTCACTTTGGATATTTACAAGAGCATAAGATATCCAGAGAGTTTTGCTGGTCTAAAATTGTATGGAATGGGGGAATAAATCTTCACTGACTGTTTGTGGTTTCTTCAGTGTTACGTGAACCTTACACTGATCCAGTTCTTCCTCCTCGAAGACCAGAAAGATTTTTCCCTAATCCTCCAAATACTGGAAGACTTTCTGGACCAGCAGAACTACGAACTTACAACATGCAGTCTTTTGATAAAACAGGTGGGGGTTGCTTCCATGATATTATCAAATGGGGAGTCTCAGTGTAAGTGGACCATGTGTAGTAGGCCATGATAAGAGAACAACTTTATAGCTACCACAGACCTGATGTTCCGTTGTGTAAAAACCTGTTAGCCTTGATTCAGTCTTTCCCTGTTATCAACAATAGCAATCCCTTCTGTCAGGTGGATGGAATTCAGTGAATGGTAGTCATGAGGTATTTTTTGTTCACCTTCACTGTTCTGTATGTTAACCATTCAGGATTGGCCTTGAGGCTCACGGCAGCATTAAAATACCACCAACCCTTACTTGCATTTGCGTGCCACATTTGGTAAAGTTAGATTTAGAGTCACTAAGACTGAAAGAGTAACAGCAAAATTTTCAAATATCCACTGGCTTTGTGTACTGACGTAGAAGGTCCTGAGATCTTCTCCTTCAAACTGTTTAGCATACTTGCAGCTTTTTGTAGTTCACAATGCAGTTGCCCCCCCTGACGTTTCACTGGCCCAAGGACCATTTGTTTATGTAAATTCTAGTTTGTGATACTTAGCAACAGTCAGAAGCTCAGAGGCAAAGTTTTGGTGACTTAAATGTTATCATTGAAATAGTTTAAGAGCTTAAAGCCTTAATACTTATTAAGCAGTTTTCATCCTTATTTAATGCCTAGTAAGTCATGTGTCGATTCATTACCTAGGCCAAAGCTAGGTGGTTGCCAAACTCACAACAGAAACTTTGCCACCCAGTGTTCAGTTACTGATACGATTAGTAGTAAGTTACCGTCTTTCGTCTTTGTTGCCCGGTTTCTCGTGATAGGAGTGAAAACTTTTGTTACTTGGTATCATGGTGTGAGAACTGGGAACACTGAATTCTGTTTCAGGCTGAAGATTCAAGTTTTACAGGGAATTGTTCTCTACTGGAAGACAATTCTGTTCATGTACAGCCACTCACCTTCCTACTGTCTTTCACAAGCCTCTCTGTGTTTCACTTGTGCTTTCTAATACGTTGTGTTCCACTGAGGTCTGTCTTCTAGCACCTGGATGCTGACTGAGGGAGAGGAGAGGTGCAGCCTTTGCACTCACTTGTTGCATCCTTTTTTACCCTTTTCTTCAGCTGCTGGCAAGCAACAATTTTAAAAAATTTAAAAAGCTGTATTCAGTTCTTGGGCAGTTCAAAACCTACTTGATGGATACAGGGTTTTGGATAACCTTGCTGCCAGGATTCAGCAGGTCATTAAGCATATGTGAGTGTTGCTTTTTAGAGGCATATAATTTCACTAGACTTGGGTGATTATTTGTAAAAATAGCAAAAAAAAAAAGCCAACAAATTAAAAAAACCCCACCCCATCCAGCACATACTATCTGACTTCAGAAGAGCAGTGTGCCTCGTGGTACTGAAACTCTTTAGAGTGGATGAGCTGCACTTCCTCAGCAAGGTGATCAAAATGTTATTTAAAGTGAACAAAATAATATGCATTTTCCTAAGCTGGGCTGGCTAACTCTACAAAAAACTCAACTTGAGGCAGGTACCTGGAGCAGGAAGCTTCTTGTCAGAAAGAAGGGTTAAAGCTTGACAGAGTCTGTGAGCAACTTTACAAAGATTTAAAATGGAAAGTGTTATGCAACCTAAGTATCCAGGCATGAATATTCTCTGTGTGACGTAAGCAGTTGAAATGCCTCAGATTGTTAAGTAACAATATCTTCGACAAAGGCAGGGCCTGCTTGAAATGACAAGTAAGTTAAATTTTTGGAAAAGACCTATGTGTTCACTCAGAAAAGAGTTTCGCTTCAAAGGAGAAATACAACATGTAGATGAAAAATCTGTCACTTGTTAGAAGTATTGTTTCTGTCTTGTGCTTTTTAGTATTATTGTCTTTATTCAGGTAGAAGTGTAAGAAAGCAGTATTTTTCAAATCTCAAGTTTGAGTTTTTTGTGGTTTTTTTCGGGGTTTTTTGGGGAGTTTTGTGGTGGGGGATTTTTTGTTGTTTTTCTGGTTTTTTTTTTAAGAAAGGAGTACATTTAGTGTACATATTTAGTATATTTCTATCCAATCAGATTCTCCTCTGACAATTCCCTTTAATAATTTTCTCCAGTTGTTACTTGAAAATACTTGTTCTCAGGGAAGTATAGAGGTAAAAACACTGACGTTCCTATTTCTCTCTTTATAAAGTCAGTACAGCAAATATGAGGATGATTATTCTTATTTCTGAGTGCTCATCCAGAACTGATGTAATTCTGAAAGTCTCCTTGATGTTTAGAAACTAAGGAATTGGTTTTTGTCAGACTTTGAATAGGATTGCGAAGCTCGATGCGAAGAGCGTATCGTAGTGCAGTCATTCCCAAAGTGTCGCTTACCAGAGAAATAGGTGTTAACAGGAGTGAGGGGACAAATTGAACTGCTACAGTAATGTTAAGATGTATGGCTAGGAAAACACACTTGTAACTTCTTAAAAAAAAAACCCAAAACCTGAAATGGAAGAAAAAGCCTTACTTGGATACAAGAAACTTTGGTAAAACCTGCAACCTTGTAATTCATGTGCAACCTGTACAGAAGTTGGAGAAAATAGTCAGTCGTAGCTTTGTTCTTCAGTTGTTTTTCAGTCTGCCTGCGGAACAGTTGCTTGGTATAGCAATTTTTTTGTGTTTTTTCTTGCCTATATATCCTGATTTCAGAAAAATTAATGAAATCATTGGTGGAGAGATGGTCAGCACTGAATAACTTGTTTAACTTTTGCATACAGATGGACAGACATCTTTAGAAAATAGCCCACGAACAGAACCAAGTGGAAATGGGATGAAAGATCATTCTAACCTTAGTGTAAGTAGCTAAACAGAAACTTGATTTAAAGAAGCTTTAATTTTCTGCAAAATATTTAGGAAAATTTGTCTCTAGTATATTGATCATGTTATGTTGCGATGTGCAGTCCAAATTATAAAAGTATACATATACTTTTATCACAGCACTTGCTGTCTTGTGAACTAATTTTGATGGATAACGAATATAATCCCTGCTGAAAATTAATTATAACCCAAAAGATGAAACTATGGTCAAGCCGATGGTCGGTGCACATAGATAGCCTGGCTCAGGATTATGCCGTAGCTAAGGCAGAGTTGGAACTAGCTGTTAGCTGGGGTGACAGCCTACACCAAAGCGGGCCTGATGCGACTGGAGATGTTCCCTCTCCTTATCCCTTTACCCTAAGCTAGCTTGCCTCTTTCCATTGTGTTACAGAACTCACTACCTGATCCGTTGCTGGTGTCTGAAAGCGAATCTGTCAGTTCAGGCTTTGCTCCTCCACCTTTCCCTCCAGTCAGACCTCCACTGATGCCTGTGGATCCTAGAGCACCTTTCATGAGACGAGGACCTCCTTTTCCTCCCCCTCCTCCTGCTGGCATGTATGGACCACGTGAATGTTTTCCAGTACGAGACTTTGGGCTTCCACGCCCTCCACTGCCAAGTACGTAGCTTTTGCCAGCATTTACTTCAACCTGATGCATGCTAGTGCTTTGTGCAGGCAGTGTGTTACCGCACTGGGTGAACACTTGTCTCTTTATGTGCACATACTACTACTCAATTCAGTTAACAGGGAGCATCTTTTCTCATTAAGGTTAATTGCATTGTAGGCTTTCTTTTTCACAGTTGCTCATATTGATAATGTTTTTACAAATAGTAGCTTTGGCTGTGTCACCAAGATCGGGAATAAACTTCTTAACACCAATGTAGTATTAAGCAGCAGGCATTCTCTTTATTGCAGCACTGGATGCATGAGGGATCGCTCCACCTAATGTGCACACCCAGCTGTTACCGTGAACAGATTATATAGATACAATTGATTACGTATTCATTGTAGTTCCCAGAATCAGGATGTATATTCATTACTTTTCTCTGAAATAATTTACATATTGGTGCCTCCCCTTCGGGCATGCACAGTTAATTATGGGAAGGGTCTTCTGGGGTCTTTCAGGACCCCTGGTGGTTGTCTGCTGGATGACCTCCTTGTCTTGAGTTTGCGCAGTTCAGTCTTGTAGATGTGGCAAGGGGGGTTTGAAGATTGATACGTTGAAAAGCACCCAACAGTGATTTATTATAGGTCTTGTGGATACGCTCTCTGTCCTCTAAACAATTTGTTCAATTAGTTTCTCTTTAATAAGTAACTACCTATAATGTCAGTGATCAATTAATTTCTCTTTACCAACATTGTAGAAAGTTACTTATTAACAGCTGGAAAATACACACACTGTTCAGTATTTAGAGGGTTCTTTTTTGAGGTAGGAAAGCAAATAGATGCTTACCTTAATCCTTTTCCTCCTACGAGGTTGCATCGTCTATAAATCTTAAAGTTTCATCCTTTAGCTTTGAGGTACGCTAGTGTCCATGCAAAGGCATGCATTTGGGACATACCTGTTAATTGTTTTTCCTTGGAGTTTGCATTACTGGAGCAAGATGTCAATATCAGACCGAAGGGCTTCTTTCTCCCTCCTGAATCTGTGAAGAACTAAGCCATTTATCTTCCAAAGTATCTGTAAGGTATGACAGCCACAGGCTGCTGCAGCAGACCATGAACAGAGTGACTGGCTGCTGCTGTGAGCCTCCCGCAGGTAACTACTGAGAACAGTCGTCGCTTTGTCCTCCTTCCTAGCATTGTTGTCTCTTTGGAGCATAACCCCTAACCTAGGTCTACTTTGTGACTTCTGTTTAGGTAGGCCATTGCTGAGCAGTAAGATAATGTGGGACAGGAGGAGCAGGTATGTGTTGTGATTGATACTAACTGGGCTACTCTGATTCTCTCGCAGCAAGAAATCCATTTCCAATGAGATCTTATCCACACTGTCCACCTCAACGACCTGGATTTTTGCCTCCACCACCTCCTCCTGAAAATAGAGTTGAGCCACCTCCGTCAAATCCATCAGCTGTAGAACCACCAGAACCACAGCGAGAGACTTGACAGTCATTTGAGCAACATGCTGAACTCTTTCTCTACTCTCCTAATGGCATTTTTCCTTATGTTAAGTAACCATTGTTACTGAGGTATAAATGAACTACTTTGCTCAAATTGAAGCTTAATAGAAAATTCTCAGGATAGTATTTTGTAAGTAAAGAATGAAATAACTATGAATATTGTGAATAAGTGATTTCCATTGTACAATAGTAATTTTAAATTAAGTATTTCTAACTTGAGTAGTCTCTTCAGAGGTGTATAAAATTAAATCATGTGGTGAACCGTCTTTTAAAGGTCTAGCTGCTTTGTCCTTGTGTAGCTGTACAGGGAATCTCTCTGCATGCCAAAAGTGATGTTTGCTGCTTTATGAATACAATGTGAAAACAAATCGAAACAGTTAATAAAAGTCTACTAAAAATGAAGGCAATGTCACTGTTAACAAGGTACCATAGAAGTGGTTGAAGTGAAGAAGAATGAGTATCACTCCTTGCTACATACATACTCTGTTAATAACCTCATAGGTAATCTTTCAGCTGTCAAAGCTTTGCAAAGTGGCAGTCATCCTACCAATACAGCAGGAAGGAAGGGGAAGTGGAAATGTAGTGCAACTCTCCCATCAGTCTTCAAACTTCAAAACTGGGGTAGTGTTTTATTGAAGATGTGTATATAGGGGGGTTTTATGACATGGGAGCAATGTCGTATGTCATGCTTCAGTACCACCAGACCCTTGCCTTTGAAGACACATCTGCCACAAACTTTCTGTTTTACTGTCTCAACATGAATTCAGCTTATTAGGCTTCAGATTTTAACACTGGCCTTTGGGAAGCTGGGTGGTAACCAAAAAACCAATTCCCAGTTCCTTCAACTCTAACTTTGCAGAGTACTTGGGATTTATCAACAAAATGGCCATACAGGATGGGGCAGATTTCTGTAAGCATGCTTATCCCAACACAAGAGTACAGATAATTAAAGCTGCAAGGCAAGAGAGAATTACTATTTGTTTCTCCCCTTGTGGTGATGGCTGTCAGGACAGGCACAGTGCACTTGCCTGCAGCCAGGGTGCAGGGATTTCAGTGCCATCCTGGATCTGGACAGAGCCTAACTCCATTTTTACTGATTGCTCTACAATCTAAAGACTTCTGCTAGAAGCTCTTGGCTCTTCCAACAGCTTAGCTTCGACTTGAAAACCATGTAATTACTCACAATGCAGTCATTTGGTACAGCACCCTTTAAGATAAAGAAGGAAATAGGTTCTAGACAAGCCCCCACTTGCAGTAGCAGCAGTGGGCAGTTCCACTGCCATTCTCCCACTCTCCATGGATGTACACACACCCCCACCCCTCCCTCACAGTTTCAAGCCTTTAATATAAATGTAGCCACCACACCCCATAATTAGAAGTTACCATAAAAAAACCTCCAGCCCACTTTTTTTTTTGTAATTGCTTAGGTCAAGCCTGCCCAGCAAGCTTTGTCTTTCACATTATTTCCACATAGGCTTATTTCAGGTGCAGAATGCTTCCATGGCTCATTCCTGCAATTTCTTTATTCTCCTTTCTACCTCTAGTTTAGCCCTCAAAGGCATTTAGATAAGCCTTTGTACTTCAGTTATTCAATAACAAATTCTCACAAAAGATGTTTTAAAGCATTATTCAAGTTGAATTGTTTTAACTGCTGTTTAGCTTAATTCAGCTTTTGCATCATTTTTAGCCAATTAGTTGTTTTCTAAAGGCTCTAAGTTTGCCTGAGAGACTTCACCAGGATTCTAAAAGGAATTATATGGTTTTACCCTTGATATCAGTCCTAGGAACAACCAGAACTGCCAACTATTGACTTGCCCCTGTACACAGAACCAGTGGATAGCACAGAGGTCCTTAGTTTGATAATAAATACTGCTACCGTAAGAACTCTTCCGCCTCCCGCCCCCCAAACTCACCTTAAGAGTTTCAAACTACTTATGAATGTAACTATATTTTCTGAACAAATACAGTACTTTGTGTGGGTTAAATATTAGCTTGTAACCAAGTTAACTGTCTGCAAAAAAAACCCCATTCCTCCTCCACCAGAACAATCTATGCCCACAATGATACTGGAGGCTGCAGGCAAAACCAGAACTTAGCTGGACTAAGATAATGCAGGACAAGCACGGATAGATCATCCCGCAGAGAGAATGGAATCATTTCAGCACCCCTACCCCCAGACACCTCCACCCCTGCCCCAGCAACAGCCCAAAAATTTATTTGCAGACAAGCAATTTGAAAACAAGCTCAGATTTACACAACAGGAATCAGGGTGTAGTAACCCAACGGATGTATTTAAGTACGGTTAATGGAGAAGGATCACACAAGTGCGTATGCGGGGAGGCCCCCGTTCCCTCCTGAAAGAAAAAGCAATCCAGTTTTAACAACTGAGGGCTTGCGTTCCAAGTTCCTGCTGCTAAATCTAGAATGCAGCAAGACCCACTTGACATTGCTGTCTCTTTTGGAAAATGAAAGAGAAACAAACATACGATTTAAATTTCACACAGTTTGTAAGGTCCCACTCCAAAGGCAAGTGCACTTTCCACATCAGGACCATCTTAGTTTCCTAACACTTGATTTCAGATTGCTTCAGCTTGAATCCGTTCATCCTGGTGTCACTAATTCAGGTTATTGCTATAAATACAAACAACAACAAAACCAACTTATATTTATTTCTAAGACAATAGAACAATCAGAGGTGTATTTCTCCAACACTGCTCAACGTATGGGTTTCACCATATACTCATGCCTTACTGGACTCTCTATACTTGTAAAGTAAGAAAGATTATACTAGCCTGTTTGTTTTAAGTAAGTACATTGACTCTGTACCTGGAACACAAGCCATAGCCAGGGATCAGACTTCAGACTGTACGAAAAAAGTCAGACCTGGAACACGGACAACAGACATCCATTGATACAGCCTGTGCTATAACTGCAGTAAGTGAAAGGACTGCACATCTCTCTACCATAGTCATGTGGCCTGTTTCTCCTGCTCCTCATCTTATCTTTCAAGATTAAGTTAACTAAAAACAAAGCAGAAAATAGGTTAGATAACTAAAAAGAGAAACATGTTTATATAACAGAAAGGTAAACAAGTTACTTCCCAACAGCTTCAAGTAAGGTAGGTAGTTATCCACAGAAACTCAGTAGTCTGTAAAGATAAAATTAACATCCTGCAACACTGTTTAAACTAGAGGACAGAGCATTTGCTTCAGAAAGTCGCACAGAAAAAAGCCAGAAATCTTCATCACTTTATGACCAAATTTAAGGTCCAGATGATGCTGAACAATCACCATCAGATTTAACTACTACATAAACCTCTCTCCTGAAGCTGAGCTCTGAAAGGCGCTGAGACCAAGTCCTGTTATTTCACTTTACTGGAATATGAAAAGCTGTAACTGTATTTATCTTTATTACCCACAGCATCTCTTCAGAATGTTGATAAATGATCTTGCTTACCAAATCTAGAAGATCTAGGAAACATGCTTAAACAACAAGCAGTGCAATTCTGATGCTTGGTAGCGGTTTAGACTATCATAAAATGAAGTTCAGAAGCTCAAATTAAATCTGTGCTTGGCACGCACACACTGAACAGCCACTCTGACAATTCTCACAGCACAATCAGCCACTGCAGGGCATGGCAGCTCCTCGACAGCTTACCAGACATTTGCAGTTTTCATTCAGGATGCACAGCTTCGTACTCTGAGTATGGATAAAACGTCAAACTGAAGCATTGCAGGTATTCATAATCTATTTAATAGTGGGACACCAAAGAAGTACTACACATTTTTCTTGAGCACATTAGATTTTGATTTAAGCAATTGCAATGGATGCAGGAATTTCTCAAAAAATAGTCTTCTAGATTCTACAATCCACAGTTTACTGTATCAGTCTAATAAGTCATATTATGATATACTGTTTGTGTTAACTGGTCTGATAGTCTGATCTTTAGCAAAGCATCCTTCCCCTTCTTCCACCGCCACCAAAAATATTGACAAAATTCAGCCAAATTAAAAAAAAAATTACCATACTACTTATTTTAGACTCTTGTTGACCTAAACACAATGGGAGCTACCAGTTATACACAGCTTATGAACGATGTTGCGTTTTAATTCTAAAAATCTTCATGCTGATACAATAAAATATTTTATACAGCGATCAATTTTTAATGCTTTATTCATTGATTAAAAGAATATACATTTAACATAAACCATACAACATCAGTCATCAATTCAAACATTCAGCTGGTTTCCTTACATTTTCTGTCAGGAGTTTTTTTTTTATCTGATCACATTTATAAGATAAAATCTCACCACATCTGGCATATACACACACTGTGCCAGTGGATTCACTCTACTGATGTACATATAAAATCCGCATGGTATGTGCTCACTGGAGACAAAACAGCGCACACCTGTCAAAAGGTCATTTTAATATAAGATGGTAAAACCATTTGTAAAACACATATAAACTTTTTCCATAAATAGAATCATATCTGGACATCTGTTGCATAAATTGTGTTTTCCAAAGCTTACAATATAGCAGCCAGGTCTCAGCACTGCTGGGCACCCACGTTGGCCACTTACTTTATTATTGCAGACTGTCCTTTAAACATTAAATGCACAACATTCGTACCACTTAAAACTGGGGTCAGGTGGAAGTCTCACAGAGACCACGTCTGTACCGCGGTTGCCCTGAAACAGTTAAATCGGCTTTTAAAGCCTCTCAGATATAACAAGATTTTAAAACATACTTCATGGAATGTTCTTCATGCATCATAGCAGCTTATACCTGTGATAGAACAAGCTTTGTATTTGCTTCCTTTCCTTCCTTTACATTCACTATTCACAGTGAAACAGGTGCATGTTTGTTAAGAGTTCTGAGGTTGCTGACTGAGCCACAGCACAGCTGTGTACCACAGGTCGAAATTCGACCTTATATATTACAATCTAGCAGTATCTGGCTGGCCAAAAGTTGGCCTGCCCCTGCCAGCATGTGGGCACTTCTTCGTTTTTAATCTATTCTTTGGCAGCTGACACAGGCGCTGACAGAGAAAATCCAGTGACTTGGTTGCTAGGGATTTCACGACTAATGTTTGTTTGCAGGTGTATACCTTTGTATTGAAGTCTTCACACTATTAAGTTTTTACCTCATCGGAGTGCACATTCTTGCTTTTTTCTTTTAAACTTTGGCCCAAAGCTAACTTTTAAGGAAGATGACAGAACATGAGAATAAACAAGGAGGAGTTTGCAAAGAAACCAAAAGACTACAGCTTATGGAGTGAATCTGTAAGTGCAGGTACCTGAAAAGCTACTGTTTCACACTGCCACTTAACAGCTAAGAAAAGCCGAGAATGATAGTTAAGTCACGCTTCAGAATCTGCACATGAAATAAAGCAAGTTGCGAGTCTTACAATGAACAGCCCTGGATAGACTTCTCTTCCTTTAAGCCTATTAAGTAGCATGCTACCAGATTAAGCACACAATGACAGCACAGAAATGCACTGGGCTATGGATATGGGTATTAAAGAGAGATGGCTCCTGAACACAGACCTCCGATATAATAGTAAAATCGTTCAAAATGCAGTTACTCAATAAAAGTAAAGTTAGCTGGCAACCTCAGACAGCCTTTGGCTGTATCTCTGCAAGGTTCGGTAGACAAGTCCATTAACCGTGAAAACCCTAAACACTGCCACTTTCAGCTTCTAAACCAATACCCGACTACGTTCTTTGATCAAGAAGTAGAATACACATATATAATTCTACATAGCTAATACTGATTAAACACAGCACAAAAGGGGTTAATTCACGCTACTGAAAAAACATAATAGGACCCTACTTGCATATGTAACCACAGGAATTGTAAATAAAGAGCTAAATGCCTTCACTGAAGCTTTGCATCTCTCTGTAGAAGTGACGGGTTGGCTCAGTGAAGACACTGAGCAGCTCTATGTCCATGACTGCATGCCAAGGTCGACCCAATCCGAGAGACACTTGCTCAATGAGGTTGTGTACTGGATCCACATCCTGATCAGCCAGTTCTCCTTGGTCGAAATCAATGCTTTCTTCTGTGACTTCCAGAACTTTCAGGTCAGAGCCACGAAGACGAGCGATTGCTATAAGGTTATGAGCCCAAACTGTGTAACCTAGGAGAAAAAAAACAAACACACAAGAAAGTTGCTCTGTCATTTTGCCACAAGGTATTTCTTTACTGAAATACTTAATACCAGACCTTCTCAACATCCTTCCCAACTTATTTTGTCATCTTCCATCTGGCAGAATCCCCCTACAGCATGGTTGGGGGTTTTTTTGATTGCAAGTGGTAAAGCCACATTTTATATTCTGAATACAGAAGTATCAAAATATTTCAGGTAGTTTGACCAAGCTTTTCTAGATTGAATTTTTTCACCATTTGTAGAAAAGTGGACTTCTTTACTCCAAGTTAAGTTATACCTACAATCTCAAACCTCCTGTGATCTACTTCATAGTATAAATAAATAGAATGAAAAAAGTGAGTCATCGATTATTTTAAGCGAATGTATAAAAGGACTGTTTTAAAACTGTGCTTGTGCTAGAAAAAAAAAATCTGAAGTTTGCTTTTGTTGCATTAGTGGTAGACTTAAAAAAACAAACAAACAAAACACACACCACCACCCAATACACACAAACCAGAAGCCTCTCCAGGAAATAGGTCACACCAGTACAAAAGAAAAACAAAAATCAAATCTACATATATCCTGTTATTCTATCTGAGATTAAGCAACATTACAAAGCTTCCCACTCCTTCCATTAGTGTATATTGGCATCCCTCTTCAAAAACACCTACTCCCAGTTACCTGTTAGCTTTCTGTACCCTGGCTAAGGCAAATGCTGGGCTCCTCCTTATTCAGATACAAACCAGAGACGATCTGGGAACTTCCCTTTTTGGGAGCTCTGCCAAGTCAGCCCTTCCATTGCAAAAGGAAAGGCTCATTTCTGCCTTCATCATCATTCTCACAGGTGCTAAGCTTCTTGGTGAGATGCCCACTTAGACTCCAAGTAAAGCTATAGTCTGCACAGTGTTTGAACTGGGAAAGTTAAGCTGCTGAGAAATAAAAACTAACTGTGATGTGGTCTTCAACAGTGCAGTTAACATGCTCTACATCATAATGTATCAAAATAAGACAGCTAGTTAGAGAATGAAGAAAACTGATGTCAAAGTAATAAAGAAAGGAGAATTTTTCATTCTGTTTTCTTTTACTTTTTCACATTGTTTGTCTTTAAGTTTCCCGTAAATATGTTGCTCAGGGTAGGTTTTCAACAAAGAAGCCTGCACACATCTGTACGGTTCATTTCTGATATATTAACCATTAGGAACGCATGAATTCCCACAATTTTCATCTGCTGATACTACACCTCCAGCACAACTGGCCACAGAAGATGAAGCTGTCAATAAGGCTGTAGGACATTAAACCCAATGGAATATTCCACTTGTGCGATGACACTCCTCTATCAGGATTTGAAGGAGCTCGCACCACCTTCCAGTTACCTTGATTGTAAAGGAACATACTAAAGAAATCCTTGACAGAAAGTGCAAGGATAAAGGGAGCAACAACTGCAATTAAGCCCCCTCTACTATCCTTGTGGTTCAGGTATATGGCTTTTGCTATAACTTTTCATGGTCAGATTCCCTATGCTCTGGAACAATCATCTTATTCTCAACTTAATCTAATTTTAAATTAACTTTCCTTTCACAAGTTTCGCCTGAAGTTTCTCAGTAACCTTCCAGCAGCCAAAAGCCTCTGCACAGTTAAGTATTCAGAGGTAACAGGGAACGATCACTTCGCCAAAAGTATCACTAAACAACAAATTCGCCATGGGCACACCATAATTTGTTTTCGCTTGCTAGTAAAAATCCCAACTTTAGTTTTGCTTATGGACAGAATAAAACTGTAAAGCTCATAGGTAACACAATATGTTTGCATCACAAAGTCTTGAAAATCCACATGAAGTGTCCTTAAGGAGCAGGGGGGAAAGGAAAAAAAAAACCCAAAGGCTTCAGACCCCATAGATAGGCTGTGCTTTTTATCCACAGCACCAGATCATACCACTCTGCCTATCCTACTGTCTCCATCCCATCTCAAATGACCACACACTCTTCACACCCTTCCTTCATTCTGCAAGAATCTATTTAATATCCTTCAATCAGCTTTCCCTTGCTCCTGAAGATGCTACCTTAGTGGAAAGAAGATACGACTTCCCACAAAAGAAGAGAATCTTGAGTCACTCAAGGAAAAGAGTGTCCTTTGGGTATGTTTTCCCCCTCCTCTTTTGGTCAGCGACAAGTGGTAGCCAAAACTATATGTAAATCAGAGCCTTTTTCAGAGCAAACTAACAGTAAAAGAGGGAAAACAAAACAAATCAAAGACCTGAGAAGTACTGAAAACTGAAGAACAACCACTTCAGGGGACAGGAGAAGAAACCTCAACACTTACATATAAAGCAAATTATGGCACCTTGAACAAAACCACCATTTTTTCCTGAAGGAAGCTTGGTAGTATCATGAAGAACATGACAAGTGGAGCCAGAAACCATTGTATGGTAAATCTCAGAAAATACAAGTGTGAGGCTAAGACGCTGTATTGAAGCATCAGTGTTCTAGATCTTTCTTCCTAGTTATGTTCTTCTCACAGTTGGTACTCTAGAAGAAAGATGCTTATGCTATAGTACCAGAGAAGTCATATTCACAGCTTAAAAAAAATCAGGAGGCATTTATAAGCATCTTAGCTAGCTTCTGCTGCAAGGAGGAGAGAAAAGAAGGGGAAAGAATCTGAATCCCAACATCAGAGCAAGGGTGATATTTGTCCATTCTCCTCCCCAGGTATACACAGTATCTCTCCAAAGAAAGAAGATGCAGCAACAACCATTTGCTAGACAGAACTGTAGAAGGTGTTTGCTTTCCCAATGCTCTGCAGAGATTGATATCTCCTACTGAATAGACATGTGCTGATATTAAATGATGCTTACACTAGCTTATGTTCAGATGGGTTTTTTACCATCTTTTTAAGTTTAGATAATATATTAGAGGACTTCCCTGTAGTAGGAGGATAATTTAAGGTAACACGTAATTTTTAAATTTTTTTTTTTTTTAAAAAGGTCCTCAAACTTGTATCCAAATGTTAAAAGAAACTGCTAAAATCCACACCAGTACCAAAATCTGTCAGACCTGGAAACTATAATGTAGACAGCCAAAGTGATTTCCCCCTGTCCCCATGATGTTTCATTAGAAGACAGTGGAAACTTTTTCTAGCACATACAGCAGGACCTTCTGACTTCAACAAATGGAAATCTGAATGTACAACCTTCACTGTTGAAGGTCTCTCCTGTTTGTACTGAATGACTTGAGATTTACTCCCCCAAGCAGTCTGAGGAAACACATTCATTCTTATGCAACACAATACAGAGTCATCACTTAACCCCTTCATGCATCAGCAAACTTGGTCCTGGTAAGCTGATTCCAGCACAATCAAAAAGAACTGTTTTGCATTATTTCAGTTTCAGGTGCCTTAAATTTTGCCAAACAACTGTAACTTCCAGCAAGTACTGTACTTATGACAGAGCCAAATACGACTACAAATGCACACTTTTTTAAAAAATTGGCAATTATAAGGCAAATAAATAGGTGGGATAAACCTATTATTGGTGAAACCAATGCACTCAGTGAGGCAACCTCCTCCACATTACATTTTTCAGCCTTCATCTGCTTGCAAAGTCTTACCAAACTGGTAGGAAGACTTCCTCCCCTCTGCCTTGGGGCACTTAACCCATGTTATTTACAAACAGGAAGCACAATCATCTAATCTTGCAATCATATGAGCTCACAGTAAAATAGCAAATGTTTTCAGTGTTCACATTCACATAACCAGCCACTGGGTGGAACCTGTACAGTGCAGACTACTTTCAGGATAAGACTCCTGGAATGCTCAGTTCTTAGTTATCCTCATTGCTGTGAGCAGTCTAATAAAATCCCATGTGACTTCTCAATAGAAGTCAGTACACTACAAATATGTTTAGAACTCATACACAACAAACACCTTCATATTTTCAAACACAAAAATGCCTGTATAAGGTACAACAGCGTGTATAGCAACTGCGCGGCAGACTTTTGAACACCACCCTGCTAAAACACATTATGATTAGAAAGGTTGAAGTGTTGCAAGTATTTCAAAGTCACATACTATGCCCATGCAACGTATTACCTACCATGAACAGCTAGGAGAGACAGTCTTGTGCACCGCCAGGCTAATAAGACAAGTGGATCTTCATTACGGTTGTCGCTAAGATCTGGGAAGCCAGACATATCTATCACATCATTCATTAGTATAAAATGAGTGAGGAACTTGTCATACTGCCTGGATATGAGGTCAACAACAGCCCCTGAAACACAAGTGATGTAGCTGTCAAAGTGAATCCTCTCTAGCGGGATACTGGGCTTAAGAATCCTTAACATATCATCGCTCTTGACATCAAAAGCCATTATATAGACCCGAAGATTAGTGCTGTTGCGAGTCAGCGCCTTCCAATTCTCATCTTCTGGCATACTGTCCAATGACTTGTGCATTATGGAAACACTGTGAACCAGGAGAGACAGTCGATGCAAAGGCACATGGTTGCTGTCAGCCAGGACTCTTGCCATTTCAGCTGTAAAATCACAGAAATCCAAAGCGAGCGAACGCAGATTCACAAAGCGCTCCAATTCAACTGCAGTGATAAGAGTGGTATTACCAGGGATGTGGTTGTCCAATAAGCTCAGATGTTCCATGGTGTTGGCTATGGGGTTTGATAAGGAGGACAATGATGTGGGAGTTACTATTTGCAGCATAAACCCACAAGACAGCCATTTCAATTGCCTGCTATTGCCTAGTATCTCTTCAAACAGCTGTTGGATTCTGCAAGTAAACAAAACAGACAATGATCCTGTTAAACGTGGTTTAGTCTTACCAATTGCATACTATTCTATTTCTTTTATTCAAGAATTATTCTTCTTTCATTTATGGCCTTATTCTGCAGGAAGGTGTTATTATTATGGTTCTCGTGAACTACAAAGGTTGGAGCCTGACTCTGCAGACATCCCACAGCAATTTAACCTTCACTGCACTTAAAACTGTAAACTATCTTGAGAAAAATTATGTACTTTGTCTTTCAAAAACAGTAGCACACTATGAACCTTCATTTCATGTTTTTTCCAGTACGTATTTAACACCCTCCCACATACATTCTAAGGTTATGCAAATAAGAAAACATGTAATGCTTTTAAAACACTGCTCTTGTTTTTAAGAGCAGCTTTTCATATTTGCTAACCGCTCCAGAACTGCAAATTCAATATGGAAAACAAAAAAGGCATTTTCAATCAAAGGTTGCAGAAACTTGACTTTGAGCATAGGTTAGAATGATCTGAAACTACTGGCTTGACTTGACTTATTAAAGGGTAAAGAACAAACATATAAGAAGATTCTTTAAATAATTCCAAATGTACAGCTAACTGGATTTTCAAGCATCAACAGGTTCAAATTTTACCAAAACAACTTGGACCTGGTAACATTTCAATCTCAGATTATCAGTGCCAGATGATTCTGGCACTGCCACAATCCTCATGCCATTTATTACACTCTATCATTATTATGCAGTTATTCCGATGCATCCCACCTCTCCTACCCCTTTGTTTTTTTAACGAAGGGATGTTCTTTAAGCTAGATATCTAACTCAAGAAGGCAACAAAAGTTAAGCTTCTGAATACTAAATTCAAATAGTACAGTCACACTCTGCAAACTTTCTCCAAATAAATATTATTCCAGTCTTCATCCCACAGCTGCTAAAGCCCAAAAGAGTCATCCTGCCCAAATTACAAGTGTTCTTTGAGCATATACATTTTAGGACACATGTGCAGATGAGCATTTGATCTCAAACCCTGGTCAGCCAGAAGGAAAGATCAGCATTTAAGAGAAGCAGTTGAGCCTGGCTATGACAGTTCCATGAAACATCAAGAAATAAGATGTAAACACCTCTAGTACAAAAATCAGCAGAAATCTTTTTGCCTCAAATTAGGTAATGTTTTACACAGAACACTTTTTCTTTTATTGTTATGAATATCAGTATACTTTGTAACATTGTTTTTCTTAGATATGTGAAGTTGTTATTTTCATCCATGTATCTTTAATCGAGATAACATCCAGACAAAATTAAAGGCTTACTTAGCCCAGTATCCTGACTGACAGCAGAGAAACACTAATGCCTTAAGAAGTGCAACAGGACAAGGAAAGCACATAGGGATATTTCTCAAATAGCTCCCTAGTTTCCAAAACTTTGTCACTCAGGCCTCCTGAGCCAGAAATGGCTTTCTGTATTTAGTAATCCTCAGGGACCTCACTTCTACAAATTTATCCACATTCCTCTTTGATCCAATTGAGCGTTTAGCAACTGTAACACCAAATAATAAAGAACTCTGCACTGCGATTTCCCCCCTCTTCTTGCTTGCTCTGAACCTGTCACCTACTACCTTTGATGTCCCATAATCCTTCTGTTGTAAGAAATTTAAAAGATAAATCCTTATTCATGCTCTCCCTCTGCAAATCTTTATTCAGCCTCTCCCTTGCCTGCATGTGCTTTCTTCCTTCTCCTAAGAATGTACTGGGTTTGCAAAGCCTGAGTTCTCTTTGTAAGTGGAAAGTTGGTGCGGTTATTGTATTTATCTTTTATACACCTCAGAATAGTTCCCAAGGTTTTGCCTAGTACACTCATCAGCTTTAAAGACTTCAGTTCTTCCAGATCTTCTCTGAATATATATTTATTTTTTTTTTAACTGAGGACTGGCAATTGCAACATAAATTAAACAGTTTTAAACAACAGGTTAAGAGTCACAGACAGTGTAGGTTTGCTATTTTACTCCTAAATTCTTTTATAGTTCAGATGAGTCCTGTTTGATCCCGGCAATGTTTGTTTCATAATTATTCCTGCCAAAGCTTAAATTAAAGGTAGATTCTCTGTCAATCCCCCAAAGAAAAAGGTTATACCACAGGAACCTCTCTAATTTCTTCCAATGAACAAAGACTCTTCCCTCCTCCCTCTCACCATACACCTCTATGAAAGGTGGTGTAATGGTTGCAGCAATGGTAGAATGTATTTTGTAATAGCCCAAGTAGTCAACCTTAATAGTGCTTGTAATATTTTACAAAACAGTTGAAAAGATGACAAATCAATTTTGAGACGCTCAGTACAATACTATCATCTATATACCTCACTGCACTAAAAATCTGTTTAAACTGTGCTTCTGATACAACTCAAAACATCTAAGCTTAGAAGAGTACTGTTGTAGTACTCGCACAATTTGATGAAAAGAAATACGATACAGAACCCTGCAGCTATAGGGTGAGTTTTCTAAATAACCTTTTGAAAGGGAGATAGTGATTTAAAGCTATGTACACATCAACTTTTTTGGGCAAGTGCCAAAATATTTATATAGCTATTTTGATTTGTGTTTGTAGTCTACCAATCTGTAGGTCCTAAGAAAACTTACCCCAGTTCTTTGCCAATTTAATAAAAAGAGATCAAACATGTTAATAGAGAATATTTAACAGTGATCACTTTTGGATTGTTTTTAGTATCTGCTTTATGTAATGCCATAGAGGAAAAACCATATAAACCACAGACCATAAGTTTTAATACATCTCAAATAAAATTTTTCCAACATCCTAAAAGGGGTTTTTCCTCCCCTGAAAATTCTGATGTACATCCTATTTTTCATAAACAGACTGCATCTAACTGGAGTTTGCAAAACCAGTTTGAACTCTGTTCTAGAAATTTAGACACATTAAGTGAATTATTGGGAATTCACACCTCCTTTATTATCATACTAACTTTTACTTCAGCTGCCTAGCATGTAGTACATTTACCCTAACTTACACATGGTAATCTTAAAGCTCACTTATAAAACTAAAGTTTAAGCATGGTTTAGTAAGTACAACACAAAACATAAGCAGAGCTCAGCACATTCAAGAAAGTAACACAACCTACTTATGCCTCAACAAGTGTGCTTAATCAGTCCCCTTTGCTCCCTGTAAGCAGCAATTACGGGATGTTCACCATCAACCTGAAACCTACAAATGATCATACTGGAGCAAACTATTTAAAAATAAAAATCTCAAAATAAATTACTTTCACAATTAGTTGGCATCACAGAGACATGGTGGGACAGCTGCTATGACTGGAGTGTTGGAACGGAAGGACACATGCTCTTTCGGAAGGACAGGCAGGGGAGACGAGAAGGGGGTGCTGCCCTCTGTGTCAGTGACTCACTGGAGTGCCTGGAGCTCTGCCTGGCAATGGATGAGGAGCTGACCCGCAGCTTACGGGTCAGGATTAAAGGGAGGGCAGGAACAGGTGACATTACAGTGGGGGTCTGCTACAAGCCACCCGAGCAGGTGAGACCCTCTATAGACAGACAGGGGCAGGCTCACATTCACAAGCCCTGGTCCTTATGGGAGACTTCAACCACCCCCATATCTGTTGGAGGGACAACACAGCGGGGCATCAGCAATCCAGGTTCCGGAAATGCACTCATAACAACTTCCTTCCCCAAGTGACAGAGGAGCCAACAAGGAGAGGTGCTATGCTGGACCTTGTCCTCAGAAACAAGGAGGGACTGGTGGGGAATGTGAAAGCTCAAGGGCAGCCTGGGCTGCAGCAATCATGAAATGGTGTTCAGAATTCCTAGGGCAGCAAGGAGGGCGCACAGCAAGCTCAATACCCTGCACTTCAGGAGAGCAGACTTTGGCCTCCTCAGGAAGCTACTTGGTGGAGTACCATGGGATAAAGCCCTGGAGGGAAGAGGGGCCCAAGAAAGCTGGTTAATCTTCAAGGATCACCTCCTCCCAGCTCAGGACTGATGCATCCCAATGAAGAGGAAGTCAGGCAAAAACACCAGGAGGCCTGCGTGGATGAGCAAGGAGCTCCTGGACAAACTCAAACACAAAAAGGAAGCCTACAGAGGGTGGAAGCAAGGACAGGTGACCTGGGAGGAACACAGAGAAATTGTCCAAGCAGCCAGGGATCAGGTTAGGAAAGCTAAAGCCCTGACAGAATTCAATCTGGCCAGGGACATCAAGGACAAGAAGAAAAGCTTCTATAGGTACATCAGTGATAAAGGAAGACTAGGGAAAATGTGGGCCCTCTCCAGAAGGAAAAAGGAGACCTGGTTACCCGGGACATGGAGAAGGCTGAGGTACTCAATGAGTTTTTTGTTTCAGTCTTCACTGGCAAGTGCTCCAGCCTCACCACCCAAATTGCAAAAGGCAAAGGCAGGGACTGGGAGAATGAAGAACTGCCTACTGTACGAGAAGATGAGGTTCAAGATCATCTAAGTAACTGGAAGGTGCACAAGTCCATGGGACCTGATGAGATGCATCCACGGGTCCTGAGGGAACTGGCAGATGAAGTGGCTGAGGCACTACCCCTCATGTTCAAGAAGTCACGGCAGTCTGGTGAAGTTCCCACTGACTGGAAAAGGGGAAACATGAACCCCATTTTTTAAAAGGGAAAAAAGGAAGACCTAGGGAACTACAG